CCCCCTTGTCGACCCCCGCTTTTCTCACCCCCCTTCTCTTACCTCCCTTCTCTCATACCCCTTCTCTCTCGCCCCCCCTCTCTTAACCCCCTTCCGTGGGATAGTGGTTGTGTCACATACAACGCAGTCTTTTTTGCTAAATCACGTCGAGGGGAGAAAGCGCGAAAGATGGGGCTTTGGGCCTCGCTCCACTACTCACCACATCCACAAAATACAAAAAATATGGCGGTGCATCTTCCCATGTTCTAGCGGAAGATTCATTCTCAATGTGCACGGTTGGTGAGTAGTAGAGCGAGACCTCCTTGCATTTTTTTTCTTGCTTTTGTTTTTTTGCGCGCGCGCCTTTTGTACCTTGGCGCATAGAAGTAGGCTCTCCACATTACCTGTATTTTTTTGTTTTTTTGTTTTTTTTTTGCTCTTCACATTACCACAAGAACGTGATGGCGGATTTCTTTTTTTTTTCCCTTCTTTCCGGCTTGATGATTTCTTCTTCTTGCTGCCTACCGTTTGTCGCACTTGGGCCTCGCTCCACTACTCTCGAAATGTGCAAAACGAGAGTGAATCTTCCGCTAGATCACGGAAAGATACACCGCCATGATTTTTGTCTTTTGTGCGTGTCGAGAGTAGTGGAGCGAGGCCCCATATCTCGTTCCATAAATAAAGCTCTTGTTGGTCAGGTCATTAGGAACAGAACGAGCGTTGGGAAAAAAAATAAATAAAAAAATGACAAGGAACAGAACGAGTGTGCTTAAACCACCAGTATTAAAAAAAAAAAAAACATAAAAACCCACTAGTACAACATATACGTTCTTTGAATGAAGCTCTTGTTGGTCAAATCGTTAGGGAAAAGAAAGAGCGTTGAGGAAGGCGGAGGGGGGGGGAGGGGAGGTGGGAAAGGGAAAAAAAAGGTCAAGAGAAAAAGAGTGTTTAAATCATCAGTACACCCGGGCTTGGAGGCGCTGCAGTGCGCGCCGAGCTTTTTTCGCATCGCCCCAGCGGCGCACTTGTTTTTATTTTTTGGCGGGCCGCTGGCGCACTTCCTATTGTTTTTTTTTTTTTTTCATTAAAACATTGGGACCGTTTCTCGATTTATGCGTGTCATCCTTGATTGCGCAGGGGCCAATTGCTAGTACCCTTCTCTGTATCGTTCCAATTTTAACGGATGTCCGGAAGGACCCTATTGTTTTTTTTTTGGGCTTGCGCCGC